AACTATTGTAGAATAAGTTTATACTTAATATACATACTCTTGTCATACTTGAATTATAATTAATATACTGTATTTTTTTATTATTGTATACTTTACCTGTGATTTATATTTTACCTGTTTGAGTACCTGTTAGGCAGCCTGTTTAAGGCTTCTATTGGAAACTGCTTTTTGTAAGAATTTTACCTAGCAGCTCAAGGTCTCCCATAAGAATATTATAAGTAGGGCTTTAACCGTTGGACATCTAATTAAAAGTTTGTAAGCTATTCTCCTATTAAGTTTTAAGTCTGCCTTGCAGATAGGAAAATGGAAAAAGGAAGCATTTTTTTTTAACTAATAATGCTGGTCTCATTAGACACCAACATGTAGAAGAATGAAAATAGATCTATATCCATTTCCATGAGCAAAATTTAAGCTCAAATGAGCCAAAGGCTTCAGCATATAAAAATTTTGTGTTGAACCTCACAGAGAAAAAAATTTTTGAAGCACATTTTGCCACGTCGTAAACACAGTCTCAGTGGCACAAACATTGTGAGAAACCATAAATTAGAACTCCTGAATTGAGAACCTTCTGTATAACAAGGCTATAGAGTGGGGAAAGATCTTTACTTATCATAAATCCCTTTCAAAAATATATGAAGAACTCAAGAAATTAGTTATTAAAAATTTAATTCAATAAAAATATTTGTTATAGACCTAAACTGAAAAACTCTTAACAAACGTATTTAAAAATGACTGAGAGACACCTAAAAAATGTTTGAATATAACATTCTTTAACTGTCAGAGAAATGTAAATCAAAACTCTGAGATTTTACCTTATCCTTGTAAAAATGACCAAGATTAAAAATTATTGTTAACAACCTATGCTTAAGAAAACGTGGGTAGGGAAAAAACTTGCTGGAAGTGAGCTGCAGCCCGTGGCGGCAGCAGCGGCGCTGGGAGCGGTAACCTGTGTTGGAAGTGCATACTGGCAAAGTCATCCCTGCATCACATACAGCATTGAAAGACCTGAACAAATCCAGACTCTCCCAGCAGGAAGAGAAAAATCAAAAATCCAGGACTAGCCT